CTAGGAGTGTCTTTACACTTAGCACCCTAAAGCCGTCTGGTTTGGGAGTTGTTGGCCTAACGCTCGCTACATAGGTTGGTTAGAAAGCTTAAAGGATTTCAACACTGCACAACCATTTTATGTTTCACTTTTGAGTTATAATAAATTCTTAACAGGCAACAAAAGTTGTCTTGAAAATAAAATCATGCCTTAGGGACTTCATGTAAAGGGGAATTCATTGATTTGAAAACTTGTGCCTTGGAATTGGAAAAGAATGTAAAAGCCGCATGTTGAGAATTCAATTCACTTTCACTGGAGTTTGAGTTATTTCCATTTAAGAGATGACAATTGAGTTATTTATATGGACGATGATGTTGATGCGCGCATGTTGAAATGGTTTTTGTCAATTTTTGTATCAATGCTTCATATATGCATGGTAGTTTTCCCAATGACCCCGTCTCCAGCTCTTTGTCTGTTTCAAGTTGTATTTGAGGTATGTATATATTTATTTTTGTCATGGTGGATATTTTTGTAATAGCATTCCCATGTTTTTCATTCCATTGAGCTTTGCATTTTGGTTTTGCTAAGGGACTAGCAAAATGTAAGTTTGGGGGTGTGATAAGCGCCGAATACTGTATATTCAAGCGCCCTAAATTACATTAACAAAGTCCATTAATTGATTATTTTATGTAGATTATCTCCATTTGCATGTTTTTGTACATTTTCAGGTTAAATTGCAAAAAGAAAGCAAAAATGATGCCTTGTGGAATTTTGAACAAAAAGGGTGCCAATTCTGAAATTCTGGCAGCAGTAGAACCTGACTTTTGTCGCCATTTTCGACCTAGGAAACTCAAGAAATGGACTTCCATCATAACATAAAAGATTTAGAGCTCTGAATCAGCTTTCCAAATCTTCAAGCGGTTCGTCATTCGGAGTTCGGAGCAGAGAGTTCTGATCTTATTACCAGAGGTGCGCAGAACTGCCTGGCAGCACTGAAGTGCTGCCTTTCTCCCCATTTTCGACCAACCAGACTTGAGAATTGGGTCTTCATCAAAACATGAAGTTTTTAAAGCTCTGAATCAGCTCTCCAAATCTTGAAACCGATCGTCATTCAGAGTTCTTAGTACAAAGTTATAGCCATTTTACCAAAGTAGGTCAGTGTTGAGCAAGAAGAGCATGTTGCACATTACACTAATTTTGAGTGCTCAAGGCCACCCTTCGAGTGCTCGAAAATTGACCAGAATGCAGCTCGGGACTCCTCATTTTCAGCCACTTGCTTCATTGGTTTCCTCAATTTGAATCTCCCTCTTTTATGAAGTGGTTGGGAATGTTTTTGGAGGAGAGAGAGGACTTTGTTGAAGGATATTAGGCAACCAATGGCCACACATATGCTATCCTTCATTCTACAAGATTAGAGGAGAGAGAAGAGAGCAAAAAAGGTGTTCTTGAAGCCTAAAGAAGGGAGCTCGAAAATGGCTTGTCCATCCATGCTTCTTCCTTCTTCTAGCTCACTCATGGGTAACTAAACTCCATCTAGGGAGGTGATGAAGCCTCCCCTTTTGTTCATGTTCTACATTAGGTTCTATTTTGGGGATTATAATGTATAAACTTTGGTCTTTTCATAGTTTAAGAGCTTATTACTTCTTGTAATGAATATTCATGTTTAAATGATTGATGTGAGTTCTTTAGCTTGTCTTGATAATTCTTACATTAGGCTTATTGCTTTTATTTTCATAGTGACAATGAAGATATTAACTATGAATGGTTTTCAAGGCATGTTGATTTTGAAACTTGATATTCCATTGCTTAGGTACCTCCTTTGATGGACTATGCTTGACTCTTACCTTCATGTGCTTCATCATTTGATTGAATTCTTGATGGTCTTTTGCTTAAGTTAATGTATTTGATACTACACCCTAGTCTAGGTAGTCCAAATGTGTTGTCTTTTGATAGACCATTCTTGTTTTAATCTCATGAACTTTTTCTTGGTTATGAAGCAACTATGTGTTGCTACATAATTCTTGATCATTACTTATATAGTATTTATCCCCAATTTAGTCTTGATTTAGCATGTATTTAGGGCGTAGGTGGATTCACTTCCCTAGTTTCCCCTTTTATTATCTCTAACTCTCATTTACTAGCATTCTTGTTTTATGCACACTTCAATTACTAGCTTAGTGACAAACCAATCAACAACTCCTTATTACACCTTATCATTCTAAAATGACTCTAGATACTTAGGTTGTCTTAAGACTAGCGCAGTCCCAGTGGTTCGACTTACCCGACCAATAGCCCTACTTTACAATGATTCGTGCTATTGCGAAGGTTGATGTATGATTGACCAACCGATCATCCATCATCCTTTAAATAAAATAAAACTAAAAATCAACAAATCATTTAACTAAATAATTAATCATTTAAAACAATTCAAATTACACAAACACATCACATGACAAACAAATAAAAAAGCATATATAATTGACCAACATAAATTAAATTAAATCAAACCAATTATAAATTAAATAAAGCAAATAATCAAATAAACACACAAACAAATAATCAAATAGTCACATAATTAAATAAAAATGCAATTAAAATAATTAAATCACATATTTAAATAAAAATGCAATCAAAATAATTAAATAAATTTCCAAAAATTAGGGATAAATGACACTAGCTGAGATTTCTTTGGAAAAAGAATTCAATAGCCATGATTTCACCAGATTGTTGTAAATAATTAAATAAATTTTCAAAATTTAGGGGTAAATGACACTAGCTAAGATTTCTTTGGAAAAAGAATTCAATAGCCATGATTTCACTAGATTGTTGCATTGGTCCCATTGTGATAATTCGGAGACTGCGGCTCTGTTTGTTTTCTTGATGGATCCATCAATGAATCCAATTTTGTTCTTGGCAGTTAACGCCATGATCATAGTACGACTCCAAGTGCTGTAGTTATCTTCACTCAGCAGTTGATATACGAGGATCACACCGGGTTGATTTGAGTGATAGAATGGGTGATTGGGGTTTTCATATTTGGTTCCTTTCGACATGTTTGACTGTTTGTCGTCTCCCATGGAAGAATAGCTAGGGTTTTGTGTTTGGGTATAGTTTCTAGCTAGGTCACCAAGAGCTTAAAGCTCTGATACCATGTAAAGAAACCAAATACGTGAATTGCATTTTTGATATATTCCTTAATGAATTGTACAAGCTTTTTATACAAGAAGACAGAATACACGCTAATTACCTAATCTATGTATCACAAATATGGAAAATAAAATCACTAGAGTTAACTATATACGATCCTATAATTGATTACAGAGATTGCTGAAATTAAGTCGTTTGAATTTTGCTTCCTTTAACAACAGGAAAATTGATATTTCCACGTTTTACATTTGCTTACCAATAGAAAATTAGAAATACATAACTGATTTTCGAAGTCTTGTTATTAAATGTAGAGAGTTCATACATCTTTCAATTCTGTACTAAATGTGAAGAGTTCATACATCTTTCAATTATGTATTAAATGTGAAGAGTTTATGTCTCTTATCATGCAGAGCTCTCTTAATGATATTACTCTATTTTAATTGAAAATAAAAAATGCTTTTGTCAAACCAAGATAAGAACATAAACCTTATTCAGAATGATTATTTTGGTACATTGGGTGAATAAGGCAAATTAAATATAGATAATATGGTATATAACTCTTTTGTTGGCAAAGTAATTGCCCTCAAAACTTTTATTGGTAAAGACCCAAAAGACTATGGGACAATTTATTCAAAACTCCAATATGTCCACTTATAAAAACCTATAAACTTTAGCCTATAAACTCATAAAAACCTATGTTCTTGATCAATTTAAATATGGATTACAATTTTAATAATTCTTTAAACATCCTTAAAGTTATACTAGAGACATATAGATCACAGACCTAAGGGAGAAGTGTAGAACAAAAAACTTGCCTTAAACATTCAGATCAAAAGCTAAACCCCTTCTTCCTTGTTCTTCTTCTCTAATGGTCCTTCTTCTTATTCTTTCTTCACTCTCTTCCTTTTTCTCTCTCTAGCTTTCTCCTTTTCTCTTTCTAGATCTACTCTCATTGTATATATATAGATAAATATATACTACATATTCTAAACCTAACATATATCTGACAAACTCTAACTTAGTAACTAATTTAATAAAATATTATTTTTTTATGAAAATAATAAAGATATATATATATATATATATATATATATATATATGTACACCTCATATTATATATATAATTACTAATCAGGGGCGGAGGGAGAGGGGGGCCAGCAGGGGCCATGGCCCCCCAAAAAAAAAAAAAAAAGTTATTAGTATATATAAAAAAATAAAAATATATTAGTTTATTAGTGTACGGCCCCCCCAATTCATTCAGCAATTAGCATATTAGGGCACACTGCACATGCCGATGAGAGGGAGCGCCAATAAACTAACTTCTATATCCAGATGCCGAACATCTCTAAGCGAACGGAATTGATGGTGAGAAGAACCTGCAATCCCAAGGACGGCCAGAGAGGATTTTGACAACGACGCAGCAACAGGGAGTAGCGTGACTGACCTGCGAGCTGCGACCCACGAGCAAGGATTTACAATTCCACCAAGGCGCCAACAATCAGTGATGCGCGACGAAATAGTGTTAATGGTGACCCAATTCCAACGAAGTTGAAGGCACGGTGGTGGCGAAGAGCTATTCCACATTCTGACATTCGGTAACCCTTCTCAATTCTCTCTCTCTTACCCATTAATTTAATTTCCCCTTTTCCATTATTATGTATGTATATTTGCTTGTTTAGTTTATTCTGTGCTATATCTATTCTATAACCCTGCTCTTTTCAGTTTTCTTTTTGCATAGAATCATAGAGATTAGAGTATATATAATATATCTATAGTCTATAGACTATAGCCCTGTTCTTTTCAGTTTACTTTTTCATAGTTGGAATATCAATTATTTTTTTATTAATTTATTCTTGTGTTAGACGCACATATCTATGTACAGTGTTATGTGTGATTGAAAATTTAATTGTAACCGAAATGAATTTCTTCTCTAAACCTAAATCAATGAAATTTTAATACACAATTAATTTTGTATATTTTAAATTAATTGTTTTATATGCAATGAAGGCGTAATATTATTTTTACTCAATTATGCTTATTAGAATTTAGGATCGATAAATTAAATTACAATGTAAAACCCTAGGTTTTAAAAGTTTATATTTGAATTACCTTCTTTAGGTACGGTGTTATACGATGGTGAAGCCAAAAAGAACTATTGACATTTTTTTTAAAAAAAAAGATGTTCCTTCCGCGGCTTCTGCCTCTAATGTTGATGTTTCGGTTCATGATAACCAGTGTCCTCCAAATCTCCAAGAGTTGAACATACAAAAGTTGATCCTACCTTTTTAGAACGTGATCCAGGATTACGTCGTCAAATATGGGATTATCCTGTTGACAAACGTGATGAAGTTCGACGAGCTTACATCAAAGCGAAAGCATACCAAATTCCGCTTTCAGAATATCCACTTTCTGGATCGGAAAAGCATCCTCGTCGGTTTCAATCATCTTGGTTTAAATTATTCCCTACCTGGTTAGAGTATTCTCCTTCAAAGGATGCTGCATTTTGCTTACCTTGCTTTCTTTTTGGAGCAAAACCAACGGGGTGTCCCAGAACCAATGCATTCACTAGTGAAGGATTTCGAAGTTGGAAGAAAGTTAATGATGGCAATAAGTGTGCTTTCTTAAATCATATGGGAGGAAATCCATGTTCTGCTCATAACATTGCTGAGAGAGCATGTAAGGACTTAATGAATCAACCTTGTTATATTGATATAGTGATGGATAGACAAACTTCCGAACAAATTTCAAATAACCGATTGAGATTGAAGGTCACAATTGATGCGGTCCGTTGGCTTACTTATCAAGCTTGTGCTTTTAGAGGGCATGATGAATCCCTTCAATCAAGTAATCGAGGCAATTTCATTGAAATGGTAAAGGCTTTTGCGTCATATAATGATGATGTCGCTAAAATTGTTCTTGAAAATGCTCCAAAGAATGCCAAGTATACCTCACCACAAATTCAAAAGGAGATTTTGCATATTCTTTCTATAAAAGTGAGAAATAAGATTCGTGAAGATATCGGCGATGCCAAGGTTTGTATTCTTGTTGATGAAGCTCGTGATGAATCTAAAAAAGAGCAAATGGCTCTTGTTTTAAGATACGTTGATAAGGATGGTTTTTTACAAGAACGTTTGTTTGATCTTGTGCATGTCAAAGATACAACTTCATTGAATTTAAAAAAGGATCTTTGTGCGGTTCTTTCTCTCTATAATCTTGATGTTCACAATCTCTGAGGTCAAGGTTATGATGGTGCTAGCAATATGCGTGGTGAATGGAATGGTTTGCAAGCATTATTTCTTAATGATTGTCCTTATGCATATGATGTGCATTGCTTAGCTCACCAACTACAACTAGCATTAATTGCCGCATCTAGAGAAGTAATTGTCGTCCAACAATTCTTTTCAAATTTGAACTTCATTATCAATAGTATCGGAGCTTCTTGTAAACGAACTGATGAATTACATTCTGCTCAAGTTATGGAAATTGCCCATTTGATAGATCTTGATGAACTTGAAACCGGCCGAGGAGCTAATCAGATTGGTATCTTGCAACGACCTGGAGATACTCGTTGGAGCTCCCATTTTGAATCTGTTTGTAGTTTGATAAGGTTATTTGGTCCAACATGTTCAGTTCTTGAAAACATCATTGAAGATGGAAGTAATTACAAGAGCCGGGGAGATGCTGATACTGCTTTTAATACTCTTATATCATTTCAGTTTGTGTTTATTTTGCATTTGATAAAGATATCATGGGAATAACTAATATCCTTTGTCAAGCTTTGCAACAAAAATCTCAAGACATCGTAAATGCTATGCAATTGGTTTCGAGTACAAAACAAATCATTCTGAAATTGAGAGAAAATGGTTGGAACAACTTACTTGATATTGTTAAATCATTTTGTGAGCGCCACAACATTGATGTGCCTGATTTGAGTGTTCCTTATACCAAAAAAATTAAGGGCCAGTCACGTCACCCACAAGAGAAAATTACACTTAAGCACCACTATCGGATTGATATATTTTATGGCACAATTGATTCGCAATTGCAGGAGTTGAATAACAGGTTTAGTGAAAAGATAATGAAACTTGGTACCCTCAGCTCAGCTTTGGATCCTAGAGATGGTTACAAGTTGTTTAACGTTGAAGACATTTGCACACTTGTAGATGAATTGTATCCTCAAGATTTCACAGACCAAGAGAGAATTATGTTGACATTCCAATTGCAACATTATAAGGTTGAAGTGGTTGCTCATTCACATTTGAAAAATATGTCGACAATTTCTGAGCTATGTAGAGGATTAGTGGAAACAGAGAAGTCAAAAATCTACTTTTTGATTGATAGGTTGATTCGTCTTGTCTTGACTCATCCCGTTTCCACGGCAACTACAGAAAGGGCATTTTCAACTATGAAACTTGTCAAAACACAACTACGCAACAGGATGGAGGATGAGTTTCTTGCAGATTTCTTGAGCATCAGTATTGAAAAAGAAATTGCTCAGACTTTTAGTACAGATTCAATTATAGATGATTTTTCTTCTCTAAAAGATTGTCGAGCTCAGCTTTTGTAGTAGTTGTTTGGTCTTTCAGGCATTTTTTTTTTTTTTTTTTTTTTTTTTTTTTTTTTTTTTTGTATATATATCTATGTCATATTTGACTAGATATAGGCCAATTATTATTTTATAAATAAATTAGCCAGATTTTGGTTAGATATATTTTTGTATGCATCTAATCGATCATGAAGTACTTTTCACTTAAAATATTATTATATTATATTGGTAAAACTGTTAATACTACGGCCCCCCCATATATTGAATCCTGGCTCTGCCCTTGCTACTAATCTCCATTGGTCACTATCCAACCCATTTAAGATCCCACTCAAATAATTCAAGACTCAACTAGTTAGTCCATGGGCTACAACCCAAATCCATAATTCTTTAAAATAAAATAAAACTAAAAATCAACAAATCATTTAACTAAATAATTAATCATTTAAAATAATTTAAATTACATAAAAAAATCACATAACAAACAAATAAAAATGCACATATAATTAACAAACATAAATTAAATTAAATGAAACCAATTATCAATTAAATAAAACAAATAATCAAATAAATAAACAAACAAATAATCAAATAACCACATAATTAAATAAAAATGCAATGCAATTCAAATAATTAAATAAATCTCCAAAAATTAGGGGTAGATAACACTAGCTGAGATTTCTTCTGAAAAAGAATTCAATAGCCATGATTTCACCAGATTGTTGCATCAGTCCCATTGTGATAATTTGTAGACTGCAGTTCTGTCTGGTTTCTTGATGGATCCATCAATGAATCCAATTTTGTTCTTGGCACTTAACGCCATGATCATAGCATGACTCCAAGTGTTATAGTTGTCTTCACTCAGCGACTGAGATACGGGGATCACACCGGGTTGATCTGGGTGATGTAGATAGAGTGGGTGATTGGGGTTTTCATATTTGGTTCCTTCTGACATGTTTGACTGTTGGTCATCTACCATGGAAGAACAACTAGGGTTTTGTGTTTGGGTATAGTTTCTAGGCCACCAAGAGCTTAAGGCTCTAATACCATAAGAAACCAAATACGTTAATTGTATTTTTACTATATTCCTCAATGAATTGTATAAGCTTTTATACAAGAAGACAAAAAACAAGATCCCATAGTAATGTCTACAATTAAGCTAATTGCCTAATCTACGTATCACAAATATGGAAAATAAAATCACTAAAGTTGACTATATACAATCCTATAATTGATTACAGAGATTGCTGAAATTAAGTTGTTTGAATTTTGTTTCTTTCAACAACAGGAAACTGAAATTTCCATGTTTTTGCATTCACTTATGTAGAGAAAATTAGAAATACATAACTGATTCTATAAGTCTTGTTATTAAATTTAGAGAGTTCATACATCTCTCTTAATGATATTACTCTATTTTAATTGGAAATAAAAAAATAAAAAATAAAAATTGCTTTTCTCAAAGCCAAGATAAGAACATAAACCTTTATTCAGAACGATTGTTTTGGTACATTGGGTGAGTAAGGCAAATTAAATCTAGATAATACGGCATACAACTCTTTTGATAGCAGAGTAATTGCCCTCAAAACTTTCATTCATAAAGACCCAGAAGACTATGGGACAATTTATTCAGAACTTCAATATGTCCACTTAGATTGACGAGGTTTTTCCAACAATTTGTTGAAATGTTGAAAGCTCGCAATCCAAAATAATATAAAAGACATTTATTCGAATTTATGATTACCGCTAAAAACTTCAGCCTATAAATTTTTTTAATTGATTTTGTCAAACAACAGACTAGGTCGTCATGGTACTGAAAAAGTGGACTTCAACTCTCATGTCTGAATGCCAAATGAATTGGTTGTTAAAATGAAGAAAAAGATCTTCAGAAAATTGACATTGACGAAAAATATATGCGTATATAGTTTACTAAGAGAGTTTGGTATTCCAAATAAAATAAGAACTCTTCAATAAGATGTTACAGTACAAACAAGTGGATGATTACAATCTTAGTGAAGTTTTTTCCCGCTTTTTAAAAAGCCAAAGGTAATTTAAGCAAGAAATCGAGAAAGAATAAAACGCCACACATATAAGTAATAATACAAAGGCACACTCATGAAACCATATATTATGCAGTATTTAATTAGTTGTAGGCATTCGGATTTGCCAAGAGGTAGGCCTCAACAGCCTTGAACATTCCCAAGGCCTTCTCTTTGCCACCCTTGATTTGGTCCTCTGTGATCCCAACTTCGCCTGTGGTGTGGTATTTGCTACTGTTCTTGCATACGGATCCTCCATCAGAGGAAGCTTCGATCTTGATCTCGTAGGAGATTTTCTCAAGCACACCCATCAAAGCATCACCTTCAATAATGCTATAACTATAGACAAAGTTCTCTTTGTCAAGCCCGTCAACTTGGTGTTTCACGCTCTTGAATTGGCTGCCTTCGCCGAAAGAGATGACCTTGACAGTTCCAACTCCACCATCTCCTTGGATGATTTCGACACTCTTAATTGCTTGTGGCAAGATCTTGGGGATGAGGTTGTTAGCATCGAGGACAAAGGCCTTGAACATCTTGGCAGCAGAGATTGAGGAGGTAACCTCCATATCAGAACTGATCACAGCCATGATGCCTTAGGAGTTTGAATGTGATTAAAGAGGTGGAAGAAGATGGGGAATGAAAAGGATAGATTTGGTTTGTAAGAATGTTTTGGTGAGGGAAATGTAAGGGCTTGAGGTGGTATTTATAGAGAAAGGATACAGGTTGGGAAGTGTGAAGAGAAACTAAATACACCCACTCGTTCCAAAATGGTGTCCTAGTTAATTTCCACGTTTTACATTGGCTTACCTATAGAAAATTAGGAATACATAACTGATTCTAGAAGTCTTTTAATTAAGTGAGAAAGCCTTGGATGGTACGAATACGTAGAAATACAAAACTGACTCTAGAAGTCTTATTGTTGAGTGAGAAAACGTTGAATGATGGTATGAATTGGCTGGCATTACTTGTAAATAGAAAATTAAAATTCAACAATCTTTGAATTTTCACCCACAAGTCAGCATCAAAAAAACATAACTGTTTTCAGTCTCAACCATTGTCCAAAATTGATTGTGAGATTTTTAAGATTGTAACAAAAAAGTATGTCCTAATATATAAGTAAAATAAATTTAAAAAAAAAAAAAAAAATTCGTAGAGGTCTCAGGCACTCATGACTCTTGATAGATTCATCCGTGACTGTAATCAAACCATATCTCCTATCTTTTTAAAGCAAAATAAAAGAGATGCGTGAAGTTTTGATAAGAGTAAAGATGATGTTATATTTGTCCCCAAAAATAAAACCCACCAAATTAATTGACCCATTAATTAAAAAACTTATATGCCTTTGCCCCAATAATATCTGTATAAATAATTGTATATACATATGATGGCTACTTATTTGTTAGTTAAGCTTGGCTCTGAGCTTAGTAAAAAGCTATCTCAGTAAGTTAATTTGATTGGTTGATTTTAAACCATCACAGGAAAACTGATACTGTTCATGCCATTTCTGAGGTCCCCTAAAACAAATTGACGATAATAATTAATGCTGATTATGTTAATGTGACAGTCCACTAAAACAAATTTCTTTTGCCAAACTACCATAAATTCTCGGCCAACCACTAATATATAACCAGAAATTAATAGGCCAAATATTGTACGGTTTAGATATTAAAATTGGGATGCACCCCATATATGTTGTTAGATGGGAATTATTTATTTGCAAGCCATGTGCTAGCACCCAAGTTTGAAATTTCAACCATCGTTACTCTATAAATACCAGTTTGGGTACTCCCATTTCCTCACACCAAGACCTCTCTGCAAGCTAATAAATCCTTCACTTTTATTTCTTCTTCTTCCTTCCAGCAAATTTCATTATCATGGGTTTGATCAGTTATGAAATGGAGATTACCTCCTCAGTCCCTGCAGCCAAGTTGTTCAAGGCCTTCGTCCTTGATGCCGACAACCTCATCCCCAAGATCTTGCCCCAAGCCATTAAGAGCGTTGAAATCATCCAAGGGGATGGAGGAGTTGGAACCATCAAGGTGATCTCTTTTGGCGAAGGCAGCCAATACAAGAGCGTCAAACACCAAGTTGATGGGCTTGACAAAGACAAATTTGTCTATAATTATAGCATCATCGAAGGTGATGCTTTAATGGGTGTACTTGAAAAAATCTCTTACGAGACCAAGATCGAAGCTTCATCAGATGGAGGATCCATATGCAAGAATAGTAGCATATACCATACCAAAGGTGATGCTGGGATCACAGAGGATCAAATCAAGGGTGGCAAAGAAAAGGCCCTGGGAATGTTCAAGGCTGTTGAGACCTACCTCTTGGCAAATCCTGATGCCTACAACTAAATACGGTTTAATATGTACACTCTAATATGTGGTTTGATGAGTGTGCCTTTCTATTTTTACTTATACGTACTATTAATGCCTTCGTCTTTAATAAGGGGAAAAAACTCCATTAAAATTGTGATCATCCAGTTGTATGTATTGTTTTATATGATTGAAGAGTTCATGTTTACAATTTAAGTTCAAGTAAACAAAGCAGTTATTTGTTAATGATGATTTCAGGTTCTTTCGATTCTAAGTTTCCGTACTCAATTTTCAGATGACTTTTTCTTAATTTACCTGCTAATTCATTTTGCATTCAGACACACCATGGAGAATATTAGATTTGGTAATAAAGAGACTAGTAGTGTGTGAATACTAAAATCATGAACGTGTGGGCCACTTTTTATCAGGACCTAGTCTGAGTCAAAGACAATTTAATTGTTTGATATTTCAATTGACTAACCAGACCGAAAAACATGACTAGTTCGAAAATAACTTGTCGGCCTTACCTCTCTCACATACTCTTTCAAACTAAAATGAAAATAGCAAAAAGGTGAGTTCCCTCTGGCTAAATTCATATTCAGTATCTTGCTAAATTTATATTTTTTGATGATTTGGATCCGTGTCTTGTAAGTTCAATTGAAAGATTACAAAAATCACTACTTTTTTTCTCATGATATTTATCTTAATTCACCACACGGATTCAAATCATCGAAAAATATAAATGTAGCTGGATACTCGATCAATATGAATTTAGCTAGAGGGAACTAACCTTTTTGGTATTTTCATTTTAGTTTGAAAGAATGTGTGAGAGGTAAGGTCGACAAGTTATTTTCTAATTAGTCCAGTTTTTCTCCTCTGGTTGGTCAATTGAAATATCAAACAATTAATTAAATTTTCGTCTATCTCTCATATTGTCTTGGACTAGCTAGGTCCTGATAGAAAGTGGTCCTCGCATTCATGATTTTAATAATCATACAGTAGTCTCATTAGACTCTAATATTCTCCATGGTGTGTCTGAATGCAAAATGAATTAGCAGGTAAATTAAGAAAAAGTCATCTGAAAATTGAGTATGGAAACTCGGAATCGAAAGAACATGAAATCATCATTTACAAAAAATTGCTTTGTTTACTTGAACTTAAACTGTAAACATGAACTCTTCAATCATATAAAACAATACATACAACTGGATGATCACAATTTCAATGGAGTTTTTTCCCCTTATTAAAGACGAAGGCATTAATAGTACCTATAAGTAAAAATAGAAAGGCATACTCATCAAACCACATATTAGAGTGTACATATTAAACCGTATTTAGTTGTAGGCATCAGGATTTGCCAAGAGGTAGGCCTCAACAGCCTTGAACATTCCCAAGGCCTTTTCTTTGCCACCCTTGATTTGATCCTCTGTGATCCCAACATCACCTTTGGTGTGGTATATGCTACTATTCTTGCATATGGATCCTCCATCAGATGAAGCTTCGATCTTGGTCTCGTAAGAGATTTTTTCAAGTACACCCATTAAAGCATCACCTTCGATGATGCTATAATTATAGACAAAGTTGTCTTTGTCAAGCCCATCAACTTGGTGTTTGACGCTCTTGTATTGGCTGCCTTCGCCAAAAGAGATCACCTTGATGGTTCCAACTCCTCCATCCCCTTGGATGATTTCAACGCTCTTAATGGCTTGGGGCAAGATCTTGGGGATGAGGTTGTCGGCATCAAGGACGAAGGCCTTGAACAACTTGGCTGCAGGGACTGAGGAGGTAATCTCCATTTCATAACTGATCAAACCCATGATAATGAAATTTGATGGAAGGAAGAAGAAGAAGAAATAAAATTGAGGGATTTATTAGCTTGTAGAGAGGTTTTGGTGTGAAGAAATGGGAGTACTGAAACTGGTATTTATAGAGTAACAATGGTTGAATTTTCAAACTTGGGTGCTAGCACATGGCTTGGAAATAAAGAATTCCCATCTAACAACATATATGGGGTCCATCCCAATTTTAATATCTAAACCGTACAATATTTGGACTATTAATTTATAAGTCGTTGGCCGAGAAGTTCTAGTAGCTTGGCAAAAGAAATTTGTTTTAGTGGACTGTCACATTAACATAATTAGCATTAATTATTATAGTCAACTAAGCTCAGAGCCAAGCTTGGCCAGCAAAACTGTGATTCATTTACTCAATTACAAGATAATAAAGTCATCCAATCATGGAGTCCAAATAAGTAGCCATATAAACATGTATATACAATTATTTATACAAATATTATGGGGGCAAAGACAACTAAGTTTTTTAATTAATGGGTCAATTAATTTGATGGGTTTTATTTTTGGTGACAAATATAACTGTTTGGCCTTGAAAAAGCTGCAGGTCGGTTCTGATGGAACCGAGTGGGTGTGTCAGGAATTGCACTAGTTCCAAAAAGAGATCCAAACAATATTCCAGAAGAAAGACTGCTGGACCAGGTGATTGTGTTGAGGTCTGGAATGAACACCTCAGGGTTCTTTTTGCCTTTGATAAAAGACTTCGGGATTGGTAACTGGTTAGGAAGAACTGAGAAAGTAATTGGAAAGACTATAAAATTATGTAATGAAAAATAAAGTGCAGGACTGAAACTAATCAGCATTGCAATGAAAAGTGAAGTTATGTTGAAATGCTGTGTTTGGCGTTGAGCAAGCCTATTACATTATACATAATGACCTATTTATAGAATGAAAATATAACAGTTAATAATAGCAGTTTCATTGATGCCACTAAAAGCTGCCAAGTGTCCCAAAACATGTAATTGTACCCTTCTTGATCTTTCTAGAACTTCCACGCCCCAAACAAAGAAACGTGCAAACGTGGTTCTAGAGCTCCAATGTTCCAAACATCCAATCATGTTTGATTTTTCTGGAACTTCCATGTTCTTCTTCCTACATTCTTTTCCCACGTTCTTATCATATCTGGAGCTCCCATGCAATTGTGCAATCATGTGATCGTGTTTTAATGCTTCTAAAGTTCCAACGTTCCAAACATGCCAACAATCATGTGATCGTGGTTTGATTCCTAAATAAATTGCATGACTTCCTCTGTCTGAGCAAATGGCCACCACTCCTATTTTCCCGGATGGGGGTAGTAGTGGCCCCAAACATGCAATTTGGTTATGGCTATAGTTGTTTTTTTTAGGAAAACCGACCTCCATATTTTTAGGAACTCCAATCTCTCCACGTTTAATAATAGACACGTTCCTTTGACCAAGTCATCTTGTTCCTACGTGACTTCTCCTGTATTAGACTTCCATATCAATTTAACTGTCAAATAAATCGATACCCATGCCCCATGTGTCTTATTTCAACTGGAGAAGTTGTTTTAAAACAAAAACCATCAACCACTTCTAATTAAAATTCCTTGAGTTTAGCCTTGACCCAAACTCCTTCATATATCATGAACTAGCTCAGCCCATAACTCCTTCCACGTGTGTATTTTTCATTGGGCGAAAATAAGGGTCCAAACAATAACTAGATCTGTATTCTTATCAAAACTTCATCTCCTTTATTTTGCTTTAAAAAAATAGGAGATATCATTTTATTACAGTCAGATATGAATCTACCAAGAGTCATGGGTGTTTGAGGCCTCCACTGATTTTTTTTATATTTATTTCACTTATATATTAGGACTTATATTTTTTTGTTACAAACTTAAAAATCTCACAATCAATTTTAGACAATGATTCAAATTAAAACCAGTTATGTTTCCTGATGCTGACCTGTGGTTGAAAATTCAAAGATGGTTGAATTTAATTTTCTATTTACAAGTCATGCCAGCAAATTCATACCATCATCTAACATTTTCTCACTCAATAATAAGACTTCTAGAGTCAGTTTTGTATTTCTACGTATTCGTACCATCCAAGGCTTTCTCACTTAATTAAAAGACTTCTAGAATCAGTTATGTATTCCTAATTTTCTATAGGTAAGCGAATGTAAAATGCGGAAATTAACTAGGACACCATTTTGAAACGAGTGGGTGTATTTAGTTTCTCTTCACACTTCCCAACCTGTATCCTTTCTCTATAAATACCACCTCAAGCCCTTACATTTCCCTCACCAAAATATTCTTACAAACCAAATCTATCCTTCTCATTCCCCATCTTCTTCCACCTCTTTAATCACATTCAAACTCCCAAGGCATCATGGCTGTGATCAGTTATGATATGGAGGTTACCTCCTCAATCTCTGCTGCCAAGATGTTCAAGGCCTTTGTCCTTGATGCCGACAACCTCATCCCCAATATCTTGCCACAAGCAATTAAGAGTGTTGAAATCATTCGAGGAGATGGTGGAGTTGGAACTGTCAAGGTCATCTCTTTCGGCGAAGGCAGCCAATTCAAGAGCGTGAAACACTAAGTTGACGGGCTTGACAAAGAGAACTTTGTCTATAGTTATAGCATTATCGAAGGTGATGCTTTGATGGGTGTGCTTGAGAAAATCTCCTACGAGATCAAGATCGAAGCGTCATCTGATGGAGGATCCATATGCAAGAACACTAGCAAATACCTGATAAGCGCCGAATATTGTATATTCAAGCGCCCTAAATTACATTAACAAAGTCCAGTTATTAATTATTTTATGTAGATTAACTCCATTTGCATGTTTTTATGCATTTTCAGGTTAAAGTGCAAAAAGGAAGCAAAAATGATGCCTTGTGGAATTTTGAGCAAAAAGGATGCCATTTCTGAATTTCTGGCAGCAGTGATCCTGACTTTTGTCGCCATTTTCGACCTAGCAAACTCAAGAACTAGACTTCCATCATAACATGAAAGATTTAGATCTCTGAATCAGCTTTCCAAATCTTTAAGTGGTTCATCATTCGGAGTTCGGAGCAGAGAGTTATGATCTTCGTAACAGAGGTGCGTAGAACTGCCTGGCAGCACTGAAGTACTGCCTTTCTCCCCATTTTCGACCAACCAGACTTGAGATTTGGGTCTTCATCAAAACATGAAGTTTTTAAAACACTGAATCGGCTCTCCAAATCTTCAAACAGATCATCATTCGGAGTTTGGGGCACAAAGTTATAGCAGTTTTCCCAAAATAGGTCAGCGCTGAGCAAGAGGAACATGTTGCACATTGCACTAAGTTAGAGTGCTCGAGATCACTTTTCGAGTGCACGAAAATCAGGCAGATTGCACTCAGAAATGGCTCAATTTCAGCCACTTGCATATTGGTTTCCTCAATGCCA